GGGGGCCGGGCCGGGCCGGGCTCTGCCCCTCGAGGGGCTCGGGCTGCCCGGGGGCCACCTGAAAGCCACCAAGTACCGCGGGACATAAGATAGCCGGTGTCTCACTGGGAAAGGTGAAAGAGCTTTACTTTGTGATGTTACAAGTTTACCAAAGGGGCTTTTTTTTTTTTTTTTTTTAACTAAATAAATAAAGAACGGGATAAGGAAAGTTACCATTTTCTCTCCCTGAACCACACAGAATTCTCTTGTTACCCATCAAGGAAAAGCAAAAAGAACAAAAGTGCTGCCCAGACATTTGGGAAAGGTTTTCTTTTTCTTCGAGGCTGCCGGAGCTCCAGGTGCCCTCAGAAGGCCCGGGATGGGGCTTTGGGGTGGCCCTGGCAGGGACCATCCCGGTGGGTGCCTGGCGCCTCGGGATGTCCCGTGGCACGGGGACCCTGCGAGGGAAGCCGCTCGGGATGCCAGAATCACGATCCCGGCCACTCCGGGAGGGTTTCCCCAGCACCTGAGAGCGCTCAATGCAATTTTAAAAAGGCCTCAAAACTCATCTGTGGTCGCTGCCGCATCAGAGCACGCCGAGCTCCCCTTCACAGCCCTGGGGCCACCCCGCGCTCCCCTGAAACAGCTTTGAAGACATTGGGTGATGTCAGTTATTTATAAAGGGAGTTCAAAAACACCTGAGTTAGATAAACAAATGAAATTCATTCCCAAAATAATCACGGTCTGGAGAAGAGACACAGATTATTCTGAGTTGCAAGGGGCCCACAAGGATCACGGATTCCAACTGAAGTCAGCACCATGCAAGAAAAAGATACTGGGTTTAAAAGAGATAATTAATCACAAATAACGTTTGTACTGTTTGTAATGACCCGTTGATTTGAACCAGTGGGAGCAGATTTAGGCTCACCTGCCTGAGTTTCTTCCTGGCTGGAGAGTTCCACAGATGGTAGAAAGCAAATATGGTGCTTAACAGGTGAAGATATTGAGCATTTCAGCTTAAACTTTAGTACAGAAATGCTGCACGTTTTCAATGATGTGATTCAGTGGAAAAAGTTCTTACTCTGTGCTCAATGGCAGCTTTCCTTATCATGATTTTAATCTCATTTAAGCGTCTTTTTTTCAATTTACTTTTCTTGGCAATAAATTAAGATTAGCATCTCTTGCAATGGCTGACTGGCGTTTGTTTGGATTTACCTCAGAGTAACAAATCTCTCCCACAAACAGGCATCACATTTACCTGAATTACGTACACAGAGTAAGAGACAGAATTTAAGCCAAAAGAAAATTTCCACGCAGCTCAGAGTTCTTACTCTGTGTGTGTTTCCTCTGACAAATCCATCATCCATTCAATCTCTTCCCTGCCACATCGAGCAGGAATTCTGTCTTGCAAAGACTGGGCCTGTACTGTGAGGAAAAATGTTTTCAAATACAAATTATTCGCGTTCAGTTACAATTGCAATTTATTCAGTCCAAGTGTCACAGCCTTGAAACTGCTTGTTACGTCCTGGCACCCGCAATCAGGGAAGTACTTTGGCCCATGTTACTCCCCTTCCTTTTGGCACAAGTCTTATAAACAGAGAACACAATCTGACACTTGTAAATATGTCAAGCAATGTGTATTAACCAACCCCAAACCACATCCTTCCGCATTAAAATAGTACAGCTTTTGTAACTGCACTGCAGCACCACGCACCCATCCTCTCGCTACAGGGGGCCCAGGGACAACAAACCATTTGATGAAGTATCCATCCTGTTTCTGGAATAAAAACATCTATTACCATGAAAAAAATATTATTTTCTTATTATAGAAAATATTTTGGAACTGCGAATTGTGTTATTGCTTATCCAGATAAATACTGTGCAGGATTGGGCTCTGCAGAATTCCTGTTCCTTCCATATGCTGCCTAGCCCCCAAATGGTGTTTCCAGTCAGCACCATTCCTCTTATCTGGATCTTTCAAATAGTGGTGGCTTATTATGCTTTATTTTGTCAGGAAAATGTGGGGTCTAACAGATGATTCAGGTCCATTTTCGTGAGGAGAAATGTTAACATACTCGTGCTGTGCTGCTTTGGCCACCTTCCTGTATTCTTATGAATGTTAAATACTTTATACATTAAAAATTGTGAAATCCTAGAATGGCCTGGGTCGGGAGGGGCCCTAAAGCCCATCCAGTGCCACCCTCTGCCATGGGCAGGGACATCTTCCACTGTCCCAGGCTGCTCTCAGCCCCATCCAACCTGGCCTTGGACACTTCCAGGGATGGGGCAGCCACAGCTTCTCTGGGCACCCTGTCCCAGGGCCTCCCCATCCTCACCATAAGCAATTTCCTCCTCCCATCTAATCTAAACCTCCCCTCCTTTAGGTTTACTAAAAGTTATGTAATGTAATTAAATTACCTGTTTTGCGGCAATGTTCTGAAGTTGAGTAGCTGGTTCTTGCATTTTGGAATTGGTACTGGTCACACATTTTGACCACGGCCCTGCACTGCCAAGTCCATTTTGGCTTTAAACTGAAAAAAAGGTAAAATTTCTTTTCAAGTACCCTTTGCCAGGTACTTGACTTTATATTGCATTCAGTTATCACAGAGAAAGGAAATCATTACAGCCTAATCCTTCCCTTCCCAGTACCAAACTAGGGAAGTTCCCGTGTTGTCCCTGACAGCAGCACCATTTCAAACAGACACTGTTCCACTTACAGATATCACACACGAGTGACACTTCCTTGTGCATAATTACCTGAGATGGTATGTGGTGGAACGTGTTCCTCAACTCAGGGCATTCCAGTTTTATTCCCTGTTTTCTTTTACCTCTTCTCAAAAATCAATTAACATGAAGAGTAACACTGGGGCTTCTACTATACAAAATAACCATTTTTCCATAGTGGGAAGATACAGTCTTAACTAATTCTCTCAATGGATTAATTTGCAATTCCGAAGTTTAGCCACTGAAAGTTCCCAAGCTCGTGGAGATCAGTTGGGTCAGTCTCAGCCTTCAGCACAAAGAGCAGGGGATGAGCCAGCCCTCACCTTGACAAAATTACTCCAAACAGTGATAGCCCAGCTTATTCCATTGTAGAACAACTTACCCAGAGCTCAGAGCAATGATGAAACCTGTTCTTCCAGGAGGATGGCTCAGCACTTCCATAGCCTTTGTTTTCACCAGCAGGTGCTGCTTAAACTTCAAACTAGACATGGGGGAAGACAGAGGTGTCACAGGAGGCTCCAGAAAAGATGGAATAGTGAACTGGGGCTTGGCTTTGCTTTGTCCCAAAGTCTGGCTCCTTTCCTGTACGTCCAGTCCGTGGGAAGAGCGTTTCCTGGAGGAGCACAGCTGGCTAGAGCAGCAGGCTCAGACAGGGCTCTCCTGTCCCTGGGTGTAGAATTTGGTCCTTCTCACACCAGGAGCAGAACTGGAGTCCAGCCAAGCTTTGCCCATGTCAAAACTCAGCAGCACTGAACATTCCATGACAAAGACAACTCATCTCCAGGTGAAACATATTTTTCCATGCATTTTAGCTGAACATTATGGTTACTCCAATGGCTGCAGTGCCACTAAGGATTGTCTTGTGTCTTATTCAATCACATGTTATTTTTACTGTTTTCTGTGTTTTCCTCCCCAGTAATGGAAAGAATAGGGAGGAGAGGATGATATGATACACAAATTATGAATACCACACAAGCAAGTGATCTCCAACTGTTCTGTATAGCAAAAAGCAAAAAATAAACCAATTCTGTTTTCCCCTGCTCTTGGGTTGGTCTTAAATAAATCATACTCAATGAACGTGCTCATTGTCAAGGATTAAAAGTCACAGAATTTTAGAAGATTTTGCCCATAATTTTTGTAATCTCTTTTTGTATGTTCTCGTGATACAGCACAGCTGAGTAGCCTCACTCCAGGAATGTTCTCAGTGGTCTCATTGTCCACTTTTTATGAGATTGCATAGAGTTCTTAAGTGTTTTCCAATTCATTGAATACTTACATATTTTTTCAAGTGTTTATAAACAACAACTCAAAATTATTTTGTTCTTAAACCAAAAAAATTTACTTCCCCAAACTGGAGACTTAAGAGGGAAAAAATCCAAAACCAAACCAGCCAAACTAATTCACTGGCTTAATTAACAACAACTAATTTTAACATCAAAATAATTTTAAAATTCACAAAACAAACCAGTACCCAATAGTTCTTTTTTTAAACACTGATACAGATTGCCTGTAAACTCACATTTTCATTTTAATTTTATTAAGATACAGGAATAGCTGCATTAGCAGGTTTATTTAATCCTGATAAAAATAAAAAAAGTTATCTGATTTTTAAAAGAAAGTACTGATTTTCTGAAGGGATGGGTACTTCTAGAAGAAAATTAAAAACATCAGTAAAAGGTTTGTTTGCAGAGCAGTTGTTCATAGACCCATAGTTTAGGTCCTGCCAGTGATCAGACCATGGTCTTTGAATCAGCCAGCCTTGTCAAGGGTTCCACATCCTCCCTAGAGTCCTACCCATGAAAATTCCCTGAGAATTATTTTATTTGCTTGCCTCAATCCTATACTAACAGTGCCTATTACAGACTAGTTTGAGGAAAGATTAATGACCTGGAAAGCCAATCTGGGGATGTTTTTCCACCTCCAAGATAATGTTGAAAGAAATCTGCAAACAGTTGTAGAGGACTTCCATTAACCGAAGGTCACATCATTAGGAAAGCGAGAAGAGAAAAAGTTCAAATTAATACTCGAGTTCTAATGACAAGAATGAGACGTCTAAGCTGACTCAGGAGCAGATGTGCTCCCATATTTTTATCAAAAAACAGACAAATTATCTTAGAAGCCGCTTGTTCTCTGGGTTGTAAAAGATAGAAGAGAGGCAGGAAAGGAAGCAGCGGCAGGCAAGGGGAGATAAACAACCTTGTGCTTTCTAGAAAGAGAAAAGATCATCCCTGACTGCTCCGGAGGGAGGAGCAGCAGGAGCTCAGTGAGAGCAGGGAGGAGTG